ATCATTAAACGTTTAGATGAAAAGATGAAATTAACAAATTAAATTTTGTCCTATATTTATTAAATTATAAATTACTTATTATAAAAATGTTTTAAGTGTATATTTTGTTTTTTTGTAAATTAAAGCCTATCTTAAAATTGTGGGATTCTTTATAAACGGTATAAAGATTCTCATCACCTTTCATCTCCATTTTTTTTTATACAAATGCGAAAAAAAAAAAAAAGAATCAAAATCACATCTTTGTACTGCCTCAAATCCAACAATCCTCCAAATCCAATATTTCATTAAATAAGATAATTAAATAAAATATTTAAAACAGAAATAGAACGTATTAATTACATTTGACTTTTCTGCCTACTATTTCTAGTAAATATAGATTCACTTATCTATATATCTATAGATTCACTTATATATATTTATATATAAATATATAAATAGGATGACTCTTTATATATTTATATAGATATAGATATATAGATAAGTGAATCTATACTTATATAATAAGTCATCCTATTTACTATATTTAGTAGTAAGAAAATTCAACATTAATTAATGCATCATATTTTTAGGTTAGTATTTTATTTACTTATTTTATTTATTTGTTCCCGTTACATCGGTTTAATCAAAAAAATCCCATAAAATCTATTCTCTCAAAAAATTGTACGTATAATCCAAAAAAAGGCATATTCGATCAGTGATAAAAGATTTGATCGGTCAAAATTATATCTTTATTTTACATTACCCATAAATAAAGCATATATCAAGCATAAATTAAAGGGTTTAGTTGTGTATTGATTTACGTAAATACATCTAATTTTTAAAGTTTGCATATATTCAAAATTCCTTCTTATCTTTTTTATCACCGATCGTATCTAATTGTATAGAAATCTGTTCAGATTTGTTTCTCTAGATGTAATTCGATTTCCGTATAACGAGATTTTTTTTCATAAAAATATTAATCGCTATTGTATCTATCAATCTAATATAAATTATAAATCTCAAAAAATTGAGCAATCGTCTTCGTCCCTGTCAACCTCCTGCGAAAAAAAAAATATCCCCAATTAGTCTTATATCCAAAACAATGAATAAAAAATTTGACTTAATCAAACAAGTTAATAGGTCTAATAGGCCTATGCTGAAGGCTCGAATTGTAAGAATACTTTTTCAAGACCGGGGCAGCACATACAAATCCAATCTCGGGTTAGTTCTTCATGATAAAACTGTAAGATAAATTATTTTTACTTCCTTTTTTTCTAATTTCGAACTATGAAACGTATATTTTCTATTTTTTAATTTTATTTTTTAAATTTAAATTTGGCTTATTTCTTTTTATCGTGTATGTATTCAGATATTTAAATTATTTATTTTTTAAAAATAATAATTTTTTATTGATTACTTTTTTGTACATGTTTAGGGAAGTCACATTGCGGCATGACTACGGGCAATCAACTTGCTTGCGTTTAGAGAGAGGAATTTTGAGGAGGTCATGATCATTTGTATCAAGAATTACCAAGTTGACAGCAATCTAGGAAAGTACCGTTCGACATCCGCTAATTTTAAGATCATGCTACACGGGAGCAATTATATATTGTTGTTTCGCGTGTAACTAATAGAAAGGGGTTGAAGATATTAGTTTGTGAGGCTGACGAGTTGCCTAATAATCAAACTCATAATGTTGTGTACAAGTATGTCTTTCATAATATATGATTGTTTTTTTTTTTCAATACTATTTTTTTGTACAATTTTCCTGCGTAATATAAAATTTTTATTGAATGTTGCATCTTATAATATAATATTCCCCAAATAAATATATATCGTGCCTCGCACAGGTCACGTACTATATATATCCCGTGCATTTTTCTTTATTAATTTATATAATTATGAGGCTGAATAAATAGTCTTAAAATTGTGCGCCCCGTGCATCGCGCGGGCTCTGTAATAGTCTAATAAAATTAGTAGTAAGAACAGTCAAAGGACAGTTAATGTATTCTATTTTCAGCATTTTTCAAATTTCTTTTATTATCTTGCCTAAAAAATCAGACAACCATTAAATGCGCCCGAAATTCTTTCAATTTTTAATTTTTTTAATTAATTGCTAACAAAGTTGTTTAATTATTATAAAAATTAAATTATGAAATAACATGCGTGCATATTTTGTAAGACATTAATACACAATATTTTATTTTGATTTATTTACGTAATTTAATTTTACTAGATTAATAAATAATGTTAACATAAATTAAATATTTTTCATTAAGTAAAATCAAAAGAAGAAGAAGACTACTTCAATAACTGAAAAAAAAAACTACAATGACATTATATGACAACAAATTTTATATCAAGGATTATATGGTGAATAAGAATATGTAAAACTGTTATTTTCCTTATATCGAAGAATAAATATATATACTAAAATCAAATTTATATTAGTATAAATATTTTATCGAGTTAATATATTAGTTAATTTATAGACTAGGGCTAATAGGCTCACGTTTAACGTTATGACTAAAAAAACCAACGTTGATTAAAAGGCGAAAAAAAATAGATGATCACTTATACTATTTTTCAGGCCTAAACGCGCAGACTCTATGAATATGTATTTAACATCTCTGACCGTGCATCGCACGGGCTACATACTAGTAAATAGAACGAGGTAAGAAAAAAAATATGTCCCCCATTGTGCCATATTTGAAATTACTTACCCGTGCATCGCACGAGATTCATACTAGTTAGAATTACTAATGACTTTAAGATTTTAAAAATTGTAATGTATTAAATTTACCTTTTTTAGATAAATAAAACTTTTTATCATCCGAACAATTTCAGTGCATTACAATATATATATTTTTTTTTTT